TTCCATCCAAATGTAGAAGAATACACCTTCTTCTCAAGTGCATATAGAACATTCTCCAGAATAGATCACATATTGGGTCACAAATCAAACCCCAGTAAATTTAAGAAATTTGAACTTGTATCAAGCATCATCTCTAATCACAATGATAAGAGACTAAGATATCAACTACAAAAAAAAAAGCTGTAAGAAACACAAACACATGGAGATTAAACAACACGCTTCTAAATAACCAACAGGTTACTGAAGAAATCAAAAGAAAAAACAAAACATTTTTAGAAACAAATGACAATGAAAACATAACAACTCAAAAGGTATGGGATGCATCAAAAGCAGTTCTAAGAGGGAAGTTTATAGCAATATAATCCTACCTCAAGACACACAAAAAAACATTGAATAGACAACCTAATTTTACACCTAAAACAAGTGGAAAAAGAAGAAGAACAACAACAAAAAAAAATTAGTAGAAGGAAAGAAATCATAAAGATCTGAGCAGAAATAAATGAAAAAGAAATGAAAGAAATAATAGTAAAGATTAATAAAACTAAAAACTGGTTCTTTGAGAAGATAAACAGAATTGACAAAACATTAGCCAGACTCATCAAGAAAAAAAGAGAAGAGAATCAAATCAACAAGATTAGAAATAAGAAAGGAAAGGTTATAACATACAATGCACAAATATAAATGATTATAAAAGACTATTATGAACAACTATAAAGCAATAAAATGGATAAACTGGAAGAAATGAACAGATTCTTAGAAAAGTTCAATCTCCCAAGACTGAACCAGGAAGAAATAGAAATTATGAGCAACCCAATTACAAGTACTGAAACTGAAGCTGTTATCAAAAATCTCCCAAAAAACAAAAGCCCAGGACAAGATGGCTTCACAGGAGAATTCTATGAAACATTTATGCCTATCCTTCTAAAACTCCTTCAAAAAAATTGCAGAGGAAGGAACACTTCGAAACTCATTCTATGAGGCCACCATCACCCTGATACCAAAACCAGCCAAAGACAACACACACAAAAAGAAAACTACAGGACAATATCACTGGTGAACATAGATGAAAACTCAACAAAATTTTATCAAACAGAATTCAGCAACACATCAAAAAGCTCATACACCATGATCAAATTGGGTTCATTTCAGAGATGCAAGGATTCTTCAATATATGCAAATCAATCAATGTGATACACCATATTTACAAACTAAAGATAAAAACTATATGATAATAGATGCAGAAAAAGCCTTTGACAAAATTCAGCACCTATTTATGATTAAAACTCTTCAAAATACAGGCATAGAAGGAACCTACCTCAACATAGTAAAGGCCATATAGGATAAACCTAAAGTAAACATTATTCTCAATGGTGAAAACCTGAAAGCATTCCCCCTAAGATCAGGAACAAGAAAAGGGTGTTCAGTTTCACAACTATTATTCAACATAGTTCTGGAAGTCCTAGCTACAGCAATCAGAGAAGAAAAAGAAATAAAAGGAATCCAGATCAGAAAAGAAGTAAAGCTCTCACTGTTTGCAGATGACATGATACTGTGCTAGAAAACCCTACAGACAGTACCAGAAAATTACTAGAGCTAATCAGTGAATTCAGCAAAGTTTCAGGATATAAAATCTATTCACAGAAATCACTTGCATTTCTATATACTAACAATGAAAAATCAGAAAGAGAAATTAAGGAATTAATCCCATTTACCACTGCAACAAAAAGAATTAAACATCTAAGAATAAAGTTACCTAAGGAGACAAAAGAACTGGACACAGAAAATTTTAAGATACTAATGAAAGAAATCAAAGATGACAATAAACAGATGGAGAGAGATTCCATGTTCCTGGGTAGGAAGAATCAAGACTGTGAAAATGACTATACTACCAAAAACAATCTACAGATTCAGTGTGATCCCTAGCAAATTACCAAGGACATTTTTCACAGTGTTAGAACAAAATATTTCACAATTCATGTGGAAACACACAAGACCCTGAATAGCCAAAGCAGTCTTAAGAAAGAAGAATGAAGCTGGAGTAATCAGCCTTCCTGACTTCATGTTATACTACAAAGCTACAGTCATCAAGACAGTATGGTACTGGTAAAAAAAAAAAAAAAAACAGAGATATAGACCAATGGAACAAGATAGAAAGCCCAGAAATAAACCAATGCACCTATGGGTATCTTATTTTTGACAAAGAAGGCAAGAATATACCATGGGGCAAAGACAGCCTTTTCAATAAATGGTGTTGGGAAAACCTGACAGCTACATGTAAAAGAATGAAATTAGGACACTTCCTAACACCATACATAAAGACAAACTCAAAATGGATTAAAGACCTAAATGTAAGACTAGAAACTATAAAACTCTTAGAGGAAAACATAGGCAGAATACTCGATGACATAAGTCAAAACAAGATCCTCTATGACCCACCTCCGAGAGTAACAGAAATAAAAATAAAAGTAAACAAGTGGGGCCTGATTAAACTTAAAAACTTTTGCACATCAAAGGAAACTATAAGCAAGGTGAAAAGACAACCCTCAGAATGGGAGAAAATAATATCAAAGGAAACAACAAAGGATTAATTTCCAAAATATATAAGCAGCTCGTACAACTCAGTAACAGAAAAACAAACAACCCAGTCAAAAAGTGGGAAAAAGATCTAAACAGACATTTCCCCGAAGAAGATATTCAAATGGCTAACAAACACATGAAAAGATGCTCAACAGTGTTCATTACTAGAGAAAAGCAAATCAAAATGACAATGAGATATCACCTCACACCAGTCAGAATGGCCCTCATCAAAAAGTCTACAAACAATAAATGCTGGGAACATGTGGAGAAAGGGGAATGCTCTTGTACTGTTGGTAGGAAGGTAAATTGATATAGCCACTATGAAAGATGGTATGGAGATTCCTTAAGAAACTAGGAATAAAACTACCATATGACCCAGCAATCCCACTGCTAGGCATACACCCTGAGGAAACCAAAATCGAAAAAGATACATGTATCCCATTGCTCACTGCAGCACTATAATACCTAAAACTTGGCAGCAACCTAGATGTCCATTGATAGATGAAGGGATAAAGAAGTTGTGGTATATATACACAATGGAATATTCAGTTCAGTTCAGTTCAGTTCAGTCACTCAGTCATGTCTGACTCTTTGTGACCCCATGAATCGCAGCACACCAGGCCTCCCTGTCCATCACCAACTCCCAGAGTTTACTCAAACTCATGCCCATCGAGTCGGTGATGCCATCCAGCCATCCAGCCATCTCATCCTCTGTCATCCCCTCCTCCTCCTGCCCCCAATCCCTCCCAGCATCAGGGTCTTTTCTAATGAGTTAACTCTTCGCATGAGGTGGCCATAGTACTGGAGTTTCAGCTTCAGCATCAGTCCTTCCAATGAACACCCAGGACTGATCTCCTTTAGGATGGACTGGTTGGATCTTCTTGCAGTCCAAGGGACTCTCAAGAGTCTTCTCCAACACCACAGTTCAAAAGCATCAATTTATCAGCACTTGGCTTTCTTCACAATCCAACACAGTCCAACATCCATACATGACCACTGGAAAAAACCATAGCCTTGACTAGACAGACCTTTGTTGGCAAAGTAATGTCTCTGCTTTTTAATATGCTATCTAGGTTGGTCATAACTATCATTCCAAGGAGTAAGCGGCTTTTAACTTCATGGCTGTAGTCACCATCTGCAGTGATTTTGGAGCCCAAAAAAATGAAGTCTGACACTGTTTCCGCTGTCTCCCCATCTACTTCCCATGAAGTGTTGGGACCAGATGCCATGATCTTAGTTTTCTGAATGTTGAGCTTTACACCAGTATTACTCAGCCATAAAAATGCATTTGAGCCATAGGAAGGCATTTGAGTCAGTTCTAATGAGGTGGCTGAACCTAGAACCTATTATACAGAGTGAAGTAAGTCAAAAAGAGAAAGATAAATATCATATTCTAACTCATATATACAGAATCTAGAAAAATGGTACTGAAGAATTTATTTATAGGGCAACAATGGAGAAACAGACATAGAGAACAGACCTATGGACATGGAGAGAGGGGAGGAGAGGGTAAGATGTATGAAACTTACATTATCATATGTAAAATAGAGAGCCAATGGGAATTTTGCTGCATAGCTCAGGAAACTCAAACAGGGCCTCTGTATCAATCGAGAGGGGTGGGATTGGGAGGGAGATGGGAGGGAGGTTGAAAAGGGAGGGGATATATGTATACCTATGGCTGATTCATGTTAAGGTTCGACAGAAAATAAGATTCTGTAAAGCAATTATCTGTCAATAAAAAAAAATTAATTTAAAAAAGACTTAGGCCAGATTACAGTTGACCCTACATTGTAGGTTTAAGTATTAATTCTAGTAAGCATCCATGAAATAATGTGAAATGATTAAAATCATACTCAGATGTGGAGTAAATGATTCTCAAATTCTAGACTTTATTAAGTCTAGGCCTAATAAAGAATTCATTTGCAAAGTGATAGAATAACAAGCATAAAGTAACAAGGTCTTTCCACAGAAGCCCTGTGTCAGTACTGAAAACTTTGCTTCTAATGTGCCTTAAACAAATGATGGAGGGAAAGAACTGGCAGCCAAGTAGCAGGTTATGGAGTCTCACTCTCTGATTTAAAAACCCCACATCATGTTTTTATTCCTGAGGTCTGGATCCATCCACAGTGTCTGGATTCATCAACTGCAAGTAGCAGGGGGACATCTGCCAGCGATCCCTCACTCCCTAAGCACAGACTCCACTGGCCTCCACACTGGAAGTACCTTCTGTATTTTCTTACCTTGACCTCAACATGATGCAAGATTTATCTACGATCTTCTGTGGATGGAAGGGAGGGGAGGGAGGGACACCAGGGCAAAGCGAGCTGAGTCTGCTGAAGCACAGAGGCTTTTCTGAGCTCTCTTCCCTCATCTCTACAGGGCTCTTGGAAAGAAGAAACAATATGAAACAGGAGCAAACTCACTGTTCGAACAAGTGCCTGCTGACTCTTGCATCCACTGCACTGAACGGATCATCCAGGAGGTAGATGTCTGCGTCCTGATACACGGCTCTAGAAAACATAGAGACGTCAGGAGAAGACACTTCACACTCCCTGGGTCCCATCTCTGAATCATGATGGCATCCAAAAACTTCATGTTCCTTCTACAAGCCCAGAGAAAGGGCCAAGGTTTCACACAGGCCCACTTGGTGAGCTGGGTCTGTGTGCTGACGTTCACTAGGAGCCACAGAGGAGGAGGGGCAGGATGGCAACTGAAACCCCATTTACCTGGCGAGGCTGACCCTGGCTTTCTGTCCTTCACTCAGCGGGGTTCCTCCATCTCCTATCTTAGTTAGATCTCCTTCCTTCAAAAGCTGTAAATCCTGTATGGAGATAGGAAAAGGGAATAAGAAAAAGATTTGAAATGTATTCTACTACCATCTTACACTTTTAGCATTAGTTCTTCATACAAGTATTTGATCAACGTGCATGCATGCTCAGCTGCTAAGTTGTATCTGACTCTTCCTAGCCCCATGGACTATGGCCTGTCAGGCTCCTCTGTCCATGGGATTCTCCAGGCAAGAATACTGAAGTGGGATGCTATTTCCTTCTCCAGGGGATCTTCCCTATCCAGGGATCGAATCTATGTCTTCTGTGTCTCCTGCACTGGCAGGTGGATTCTTTATCACTGAGCCACCTGGGAAGCCACAACAGTGGGTATATGATAGAGTAACTAAACTGTGACCATGAATATTAAAAAAAAATAAAAAACTCTCAGTATTTTCTATTTGCTTTCATTCTTTAGTTTTTCACATCATCTATGTATTTGACCATTTTAACAGATATTTACTGGGGATCAATGAATTCAGTTGTGAAGAAACGAAGCTCTTAGAGTTTCTTTCTATGGTGGGAGGGGGATGATATGGAAAATTAACCTGGGCACAAGTACTGAGGGCAGGAAGGAAAAGGAAGCCGGCTCGGGGGATGGAGAGTGAAGGAGGGAAGTGAGTCCACCCTGGGGTGGGAGGGCTCTGCTCAGAGGGGGTGTGAGCAGATCTGGGGGAGGGGGAGGGGACTCAGGCAGACCTGGAGAGGCTGCTCCTCACAGAGGGAGGGGTGAGTGAAGGGGTCACGGGGAGATGCCCAAGGGTTTCAGGACAAGGAGGCCAGGAGAGCAGAGCCGAGAAAGAATGAGGGGTGTGAGGGTGTAGACGGAGCAGGAGGAGCCTTGGGTTCACTCTAATAAAAGAGGGAGGGAAGGACTGATGTGACCTGAGGTTTTTAATGAATCACTCCTGTGCTTTGCAGAAAACAGCAAGTGGGGAGGGTGAGGGCAGGTACACATGAGAAGGCTACTGGAAGATTCTAGGTGACAGATGACTGTGGTCAGGACCACAGTGGAAGCAGCAGGAGTGGAGAGACGGGGTCACACTCCAGACACATTTGGAAGGTGGAGTCTGTAAGACCTGCTGACAGGATGGGTGTGGGATGCAAGAGAAGAGGATGTGGTGTTTGGGGTGAGGAAGGGGAAGAACAGGGTCTCCATTTACTGAGTTGGAGAAGATGCTGGATACAGGCTTAGGAGACTTCACTTGTGGACAAGGTGAGATAACCTCTCAGTGATGTCATGGTGCAGCTGGACATGCAAGTGTGAATGTCTGTGCTAGAGACACAGGTGTGAGAGCTGGTGGTCCAGGCTGGTGAAGGCACAGGACTTGTTTTATCAGGGAATGAGTGTGTCTTCAACTGGACATTTTGCTGATCTCGGCCTCAGCTTCCCACTTTCAGAAAAGGGATAACACCTGATCCAAGCCCTCACAGTGATACTTACAGCAAGTGACAGAGTGACAGACAAGGTCTGTACAAGAAATGGTAGCAGAAAGAGCAAGCTGGGCAGGAAAACCAAAAGGAAAGAAACAGTGTGCTCAAGGGACACCCAGCAGATCAGCGGGACTAAGTAGATGCTTGTTTGTGGATGCAGGAAAAACTCAAAGCTAAGAAGGAAATGAAGTTGTAACTTAAGGATATGGGAATCAATCAAAAGTTATATATGAATATTATTTATGAAGTAAATAGACAAATCAGCCTATTTTCCCCGGAGTATCATGGCGGGGTGGGGGGGAAGAATATATGACAAGAACATTTCCAAAACAAGATAAAAATCAGGCTTAATTTACACAGTATTATATTAGAAGTCTTAGGTTGCCTATAGTTATCTCTTGGCACATTTTGACATAGACGAACAGTTTGTTTGGAGTTTTTATATGCTAAACCCCTCAGGCATCAACCTAGGATGCACAGCAGTACATTTCTGCAGATGAAGCCCTCACTGAAGCCCTCACTTCTGCAGTTCCTTTCTGCAGATGAAGCCCTCACAGTTTATCATGATTTCACCTTTCTTCCTTGAGTTCAGAAATTAATACCATATCTTGCTTTTGGTTTTCATTAAAAAAAAAAATGAGATGTGTTCTCAGCCTCACACACACACACAGGATTACTTGGCCTCTCTTTCACAGTTGACAGTCCTTGCAAACTGTTCCACTTAGTTTTTAAGCTTTGATCTTCTGTCATTCAAATGGTTTTCTTCTTAAAATAGCACCACATTATAACAACAGTCTTAACCACATTCTAGAAAAGGCACTCATGGCCTCTCTTTCCAGGACATAAGAAACTATCCCCGAGTCAGGTAGTAATACTTCAAGTGTGTTGTTGACCCTGCAAATTGTTTATGAACAAGTCACCAAGAGGAAAAACAGTTTGGAGGATTCGAAGTAAAACAAATTCAAGCTGATTTCTCAATCACCATTTTCTGATTAGATTAAAGAGGAAAAGCTTGAGTTGAGAATATATTACAGCTCCTTCCACTGACAGGAAGGTGTTCTTATTCATGTTTGTTATTCTAAGTTCAGTTCAGTTCAGTCCCTCAGTCATGTCCGACTGTTTGCAACCCCCTGCACTGCAGCACGCCAGACTTTCCTGTCCATCACCAACTCCCAGAGCTTACTCAAACTCATGTCCACCGAGCCAGTGATGCCATCCGACCATCTCATCCTCTGCTATTCCCTTATAAGTTATTTTTACTATTATTTTATTCTAAATTAAATATAACCAATTCTCACTGAACAGCAGACACACAAACTAGAGGCAAACTAGGAAATGGCGATGCAGGTTTGATGCCATCTGCCCAGAAGCACATCAAGGGTCCTTCAGCGATGGAGGAGACCTACAGTAGAGACGCCACGGAGCAGACTGCTGCAGTGGTTGATGTGGGCCAGACGTGAGACCCTGGTAGAGGAGGGCTGGACTCGAGTCAAGCAGTGGGAAGAACACACCTTCCTTCACAGCTTTTCTTCCACCTGGAATCGCCCCTCCTCTCACAGCCTGTCAATATCCGCCCATCTTTCCAGGTTCAGCCCAAACACACTCTCCCATGAAACCATCCTGGACTCATCTCTCTTCCTGCTGGGTTCTATTTACATCTCTCATTTCTCCTGAAGTACCTGTCTTATTCTGCTCCATAATTTGTACAAGTGCACACGGCTTCTCTCAGCTCCTGGGGGTAAGATCTGTGCACCAAGATCTGTGCTGGACCCTGATGATGATTATCTCTAATCCCCACAACAAGCTCACAGGAAGTACTGGGCCCATTTCACAGATGAGGAAACTGAGACTGAGTGAGGTCACATCACTGGTCTGAGGATAGCCAGCTGTTAAACAGAAGAGCAGGAATCTGAACAATGTCACGTCAGTTCATAGCCTTCTGCTCTTTCACATCATGCTGCCCAGGTGGTGACTGAAGAGTATATTTGAAATGAAGGCAACGCTAAACTAACTCAAGACTTGAAGTCCTCTATACATAGACACAGAAGAAACAACATACTTATTAGCCTAAGATTATCAAGGAAAACTGAAAAGAAAATGTCCAAATGTGGGAAAATATTAAACTAGAATTTATCAATTTGATACCTTTAAATACATGTTGACTAAATATTTTCAGGAGCCTCCCAGTGGTTAAAGATAACATGTAGACAAATGTTACCTACTACCTTGTTTATATTACAATAACAGAATGTTGTTATTGTTGATTTATATAATGTCAATGTGTAGAGCACTTATAGAAACATCAAATCAAACAAAGGAAGTTAAATATTCAGATACCTTCTTTCTTACATGTCACATTTTATGTTTGTAATTTTAGAAAAAACTGGCTGAGCTTATAATTAAGAATTAATTTATTTTCAAAATCATTCTAATACCTACAGAGTACTTGCTATGTCCCTAGGAATCAGGTCTTTAAAACCACAACAACATTTCATCCTCAAAACAACCTCATGAGGTTGATAGTTTTATTATGTCCATTAAATGAAGAAACAGGCTTGTAAGGGTCAATTAGCCAAACCACACACCTGATCAACAGACAGACTGGGACTCAACTCCTGAACTTTCTGACTCCTAGACCTTGGAGCTGATGTCATCAAGCCTGAATCAATGTTGCCAATGTGATTACTTCATGTCCTCCTATTTTGTTACAGAAACATTTTCAGCTCAAGGAACTTAAATGATTACTTCAGTTCAGTTCAGTCACTCAGTCGTGTCCGACTCTTTGCAACCCCATGAACCACAGCACACCAGGCCTCCCTGTCCATCACCAACTCCAGGAGTCCACCCAAAACCATGTCCATTGAGTCGATGATGCCATCCAACCATCTCATCCTCTGTCGTCCTCTTCACCTCCTGCCCTCAATCTTTCCCAGCATCAGGGTCTTTTCAAATGAGTCAGCTCTTCGCATCAGGTGGCGAAGTATTGGAGTTTCAGCTTCAACATCAGTCATTCCAATGAACACCCAGGACTGATCTCCTTTAGGATGGACTGGTTGCATCTCCTTGCAGTCCAAGGGACTCTCAAGAGTCTTCTCCAACACCACAGTTCAAAAGCATCAATTCTTCGGCGCTCAGCTTTCTTTATAGTCCAACTCTCACATCAATACATGACTACTAGAAAAACCATAGCCTTGACTAGATGGACCTTTGTTGACAAAGTAATGTCTCTGCTTTTTAATATGATGTCTAGGTTGGTCATAACTTTCCCTCCAAGGAACAAGCATCTTTTAATTTCATGACTGCAATCACCATCTGGTATAATATATCTAATTGTTATTATCAGATGTAATATAAAAAATGTGTGGTTTTTGTTTTATCCTCCAGGATTTGGAGGAGGTGGGAGTAGGAAGAAGGGTAAGGAGAAATTTTTATTGTATTTATACTGATGGATGGATGGGTGAATGGATGGAGGGAGAGAAAAAGTTAGAATAGTAATGACAGTCACCATTTACTAAAATCCTGGCTTGTTTGCATTTCACAGACATGGCCTGTAGCCTTTACAGTAACCCCACCCCTCTACCATTTAACAAAAAGGAAACTGAGACAAACACCTGGAGTTACTACCCAGAACGGTTTCTCTCCAAAAGCCAAGCCCTTTCTACTACATGCCATCTCTGTCTACATGCCAGACTAACTCCAGGATGCCACTATTCCCTGTGACTTCCTTATGTCCATCCACTGATACCTGGATTCCAAATGGAGATAAGCAGAGCCTCTCATAACTTACTAAGTGGTTCCCAGGTGTTGAAAGTCCTTGCTGAGCCCTTGCTAATCAGACACATAGAGTACATTTCAGAGCAGCAGCAAAACCTCTTGGAAACCCTCTGACCCAATGTCCTCATTTTGCTGCAGAAACGTGAGAGGCCCAGGCAGGTAACAAAACATGTCCAAAGTGACAGCGGGCAAGTGATCAACTCAGGGCAAATACTCCGCTCTTTGTTACTTATCTACCCTGACCCTCCCTTCCTGCCAAGGAGGAAATGTGCAGGATGTGATGTTTGTCCACATCATTGTAAAATGATGCTCACCTGATACAGGGCTTCCCAGGTGGCACTAGTGGTAAAGACCCCCACCTGCCAATGCAGGAGATATAAGAGACCCAGCTCAATCCCTGGGTTTGGGGAAGATCCCCTGGAGGAGAGCATAGCAACACACTCCAGTATTCTTGCCTGCAAAATGCAATGAACAGAGGAGCCTGGTGGGCTATAGTCCATATACCTGCAGAGTTGGACATGACTGAAGTGACTTAGCAAGCACCTGATATAACCTGTGATATTCAAGCCATTGTTTGAAGAGAATTACAATTTTCTCAGAAAGCAGGTTTGGAGCCTTTAATACCACACCTTTGAAAATCTATCCCTGTCTTTTCCTCACACTACAAAAGTACAGTCAGATATCCAGACGGCACTGAACAGCCTCCAGGGGTGACCATTAATGCTATTATTCACTGATTTTTACAACCTGAGAAAGCAGCATAGTATTTAACATTATTTAAACTTTTCCTTTCTTTTTGCCAAATTTCATTCTATCAGTTTAGTTATCATTTATTCACTAATCTTATTTAAATCCCAAAACACAGTTTAAACGTTTCATCTCAGCATTTTCTGTGAAACTCAATGCCATTTCTGAAAATAATCTCTACCTCTGAAATGACACAATATTAAAAAGAAGTTTTAAACCATTCCAGTTTCCTTAAATAATAAATTACAAATCAAAGATGAAATGGAGAGAGAAATTGACAGACTGAAAGAGACCAAGGAGGTATCAGCCAAGTGCAGGGGGCAGAGCTTATGTGGGTTCCAACAGTGGTGAAGATTTCTCAGTGAGATGATCAACAAGATGTAAACACAGACCAGCAGGTGGATGATACTCAGGAACTTGAGGTATTTTTCAGGTGAAATAGTGATTTTTTTCCACAAAGCTTTCCTGTCTTTTCAGTTCAGTTCAGTTCAGTTCAGTTGCTCAGTCATATCCGATTCTTTGCGACCCCATGAATCGTAGCACGCCAGGCCTCCCTGTCCATCACCAACTCCCAGAGTTTACTCAAACTCATGCCCATCGAGTCGGTGATGCCATCCAGCCATCCAGCCATCTCATCCTCTGTCATCCCCTCCTCCTCCTGCCCCCAATCCCTCCCAGCATCAGGGTCTTTTCCAATGAGTCAACTCTTCGCATGAGGTGGCCAAAGTACTGGAGTTTCAGCTTCAGCATCAGTCCTTCCAATGAACACCCAGGACTGATCTCCTTTAGGATGGACTGGTTGGATCTCCTTGCAGTCCAAGGGACTCTCAAGAGTCTTCTCCAACACCACAGTTCAAAAGCATCAATTTATCAGCACTCAGCTTTCTTCACAGTCCAACTCTCACATCCATACATGACCACTGGAAAAACCATAGCCTTGACCAGACGGACATTTGTTGGCAAAGTAACGTCTCTGCTTTTTAATATGCTATCTAGGTTGGCCATAACTTCCCTTCCAAGGAGTAAGTGTCTTTTAATTTCATGGCTGCAGTCACCATCTGCAGTGATTTTGGTGCCCAAAAAATGAAGTCTGACAGTGTTTCCACTGTCTCCCCATCTATTTCCCATGAGGTGATGGAACCAGATGCCATGATCTTAGTTTTCTGAATGTTAAGCTTTAAGCCAACTTTTTCACTCTCCTCTTTGACTTTTATCAAGAGGCTTTTTAGTTCCTGTTCACTCTCTGCCATAAGGGTGGTGTCATCTACATATCTGAGGTTATTAATATTTCTCCCGGCAATCTTGATTCCAGCTTATGCTTCTTCCAGCCCAGTTGTTTCTCATGATGAACTCTGCATATAAGTTAAATAAGCAGGGTGACAATATACAGCCTTGATGTACTCCTTTTCCTATTTGGAACCAGTCTGTTGTTCCATGTCCAGTTCTAACTGTTGCTTCCTGACCTGCATACAGGTTTCTCAAGAGGCAGGTCAGGTGGTCTGGTATTCCCATCTCTTTCAGAATTTTCCACAGTTGATTGTGATCCACACAGTTGAAGGCTTTGGTGTAGTCAATAAAGTAGAAATAGATGTTTTTCTGGAACTCTTGCTTTTTCGATGATCCAGCAGATATTAGCAATTTGATCTCTGGTTCCTCGGCCTTTTCTAAAACCAGCTGTGTTTTAGACAAAACTAATGAAATGTTTACAGATGAGCTAATTTGAGGTCTAGGATCTGCTCCACAATACTCGGGTGGGGGTGGGGCTGGCAGAGGACAGGGGTAGAGATTCAGCAAGACTGGTCACCTGCTGATCCTGGCTGAACCTGAGGGTGGTACATGAGGGTTCATTATACCATGCTCTCTATTTTGGTAAATTTTTGTAACTTTCCATTTAAAAAATCTGAAAGTGAATGAAACGTCACAGAAAGAAATAACCCCATTCCCCTCCAGAAAAGGTATTCTGTGAGTGTTATTATCCCATAAGGATTAAAATGACAGCATATGTAAAGATGCCTGCATATTTACCCAGAAGACCAACATAAATATTAAGCAACATTCAAAAATCCATTTTTTAAGAAGAACTTTTAACAAACCTTGTAGTTCAAACCACTGTCATCATTTGAAATTCAAGTATATGCAACTCAGAAGTCATTACTCACCTGTTCCAAAGCACAAGCCTCTATTACTTCTTCATATCGTCCCTTTTCATATTTCTTCCCAAATAAAATGTTACTCCTCACAGTTCCTGGAAACACCTAAGGCTGCTGAGAAACATACGCGATCCTCCCGTGCATGTTGACCTTCCCCTGGCTCGGGGGCAGCTCCCCCAGCAGAGCGCCTAACAGTGAGGACTGAAACAGACAGGAACACACACACGTGAACAGGGAGCACTCAGGACAGAACACGCCCCACAGCACAGCCAACCCCACCGTGGCACTTGATACGTGATAGAACCCTTTCCTTCAACAGGATAAAGCACAGCCCTCACAACTGAGACAAAATTAAAAAATGAAAATAACACTAATGAAAATTTAGTTTTTGAAATCTAAACAATGGCTGATAAGGGATATATTAATAGCATAAACAATCTACTCTACCCAAGTATCCCCCAAATGAAATTCTACTCAGCAAAGAATAATTAAGAATGTTAACATCCTTCTCTAGCAGAGCAGCCCAGCAGGATATGTATTTCTCGGATCTGATGTTTAATCCAGTTGCTCCTGCATCTGGGTATCCTTTACTTGACAAACAAATATTTTATTCTTAAAAAACTATGTGTGAAGAGTATATCCAAAGATGATCAATTGAAAGAACTCTGAAGTGAGTTGTGTCTGCAGAGCAAAAGTCCATCATAGAGGAAATCAGTACCCTTTCATGTACACGTCCCACATTTTTAAAGATTATTTATTTATTTATTTTTAGTTCTTTTATTTTTTACAATGTCATGTTGGTTTCTGCGATACCACAATTCTAATTTAATTTATTTTTGCTTGCACTGGGTCTTCATTGCAGTGCACAGGGGTTTTCTTGTTGAGGAGCACAGGGCTCTACTGGGCAGGCTTCAGCAGTTGTGGCCTGTGGGCTCAGTAGTTGCAGCTCCCAGGCTCTAGAGCAGAGGCCCAACAGCCGTGGTGCACCAGCTTAGTTGCTCCCCAGCATGTGGAATCTTCCCAGACCAGCGACCCAACCTCTGTCTCCTGCATTGGCAGGCGGAATCTTTTATCACTGAGCCACCAGGGAAGCCCACATCCCACGTTAGATTTCTATTTTGTTGTTTCAGACCAAGTGTATGTGCACATTTCCTTCAAATCTTCAACATCACTCAGACATGGTATGTGTATATTCACACCATTAGAGCGCTCACCACACTGGGCTGAAATAATATCTCAGTATATCTGTCTTGCCCCAGAACCTGGTTACCTCTGAAAGGCAGAGAGTCAGGGACTTGCTCACATCTGTACCTTTAGCTCCAGCACGTGGCTGCACATTCACTACACGTGCACCAACAGGATCAAGTCACAGGAGGAAATGCTCAAAGCTTATAGTAAGTGTCTTTATGACCTCCAGATTTCCTGGAAGGGCCACTGAGATAAAAAGAAGTCCTATGCATCCTGAACAGCTGTCACATAAATAATTTCCTTCACTGAGACATCCAAATTCCCCACAAGCAGCTCCCAACTGTGCCACATGAAGCACCAAGAAGGAAAACACAGTGCTCATTTACCCAGATTTTATTTGAACACAAAACTTTCTTGTAAAATGAATGCTCCATGGAACACACCTAGAGAAATACTTTTCTAGATATACTCAATTCAAACTGTGTCACACATAGCTCTGGGCTCAACTCTGAGAATTTAACAGGAGTTGCAGCATTGCATCAAGCTGACAAAAGGCATCATAACTTACCTTTCCTGCTCCCACAGGTCCGACCACACCTAACAGTTCACCAGGTCTGACAGTAAAGGAAAGGCCTTGTAGGGTTGGAGTCTCTGATGCCTACAAATTAAAGTTTATAAAAGTGTACCTATTTCAGTAAAGTAACACAAATTGTTTTACAAAGTGGGAAAGAAAACAATAGTCAACATAATTGATATGCAAAATATAACCCACATTTTTCTCTTTCCTATTTTAAGATACTGTGTCCTGGAGGCCTCTGATCAAATCTTATCTCAAATCTTATATCAATGAATCTTATGGATTTACAGCAGCTTTAACTGACTTTATGAAGGTTCCTTTTTTTTTTTTTTTTTACTAGATTCCCATATGGACAGAAGAATGTTCCAAGTATCGCACAATTGCACTAATTTCACATGCTAGCAAAGTAATGCTCATAATCCTTCAAGCTAGGCTTCAGCAGTACGTGAACTGAAAAATTCCAGATGTACAAGCTGGGTTTAGAAAAGGCAGAGGAACAAGAGATTAAAATGCCAACATCTATTGGATCATAGAAAAAAAAGGTAATCCCAGAAAAATATCTTCTTCTGCTTCATTGACTACACTAAAGCCTTTGACTATGTGGATCACAACAAACTGTGGAAAACTCTCAAGGAGATGGGAATACCAGACCATGTTACCTGTCATCTGAGAAACCTGTACGCTGGACAAGAAGTAACAGTTAGAAGCCAATGTGGAACAATGGACTGGTTCAAAATCGGGAAAGAAGTATGTCAAGGCTGTATTGTCACCCTGCTGACTTGACTTATATGCAGACTACATGATGCAAAATGCCAGGCTAGATGAATCACAACTGGAATCTAGAATTCTGACAGAACTATAAACAATCTCAGATATGCAGATGATACCACTCTAATGGCAGAAAGTGAATAGGAACCAAAGAGTTTCTTGATGAGGGCAAAAGAGGAGAGTGAAACAGTTCGCTTAAAACTCAACATTTGAAAAACTAAGATCATGGCATCTAGTCCCATCACTTAATGGCAAATAGAAAGGGTAAAATTGGAAACACTGGCAGATTTTATTTTCTTGGGCTCCAAAATCACTTCAGAAGTGACTGCAATCATAAAATTCAAAGATTCTTGCTCCTTGGTAGAATACCTATGAAAAACCTATTAAAAAGCAAAGACATTGCTTTGCTGATAAAGGTCCGTATAATCAAAGCCATGGATTTTCCAGTAGTCATGTATAGATGTGAGAGTTGGACCATAAAGAAGGCTGAGTGCTGAAGTATTGATGCTTTCAAATTGTGGTGCTGAAAAAGACCCTTGAGAGACCCTTAACTGCAAGATCAAACCAGTCAATCCTAAAGGAAATCAACCCTGAATATAGACTGGAAGGACTGATGCTGAAGCTGAAGCTCCAATACTTTGGCCACCTGATGCAAAGAACTGACTCCTTAGAAAAGACCCTGATGCTGGCAAAGATAGAGGACAGGAGGAGAAGGGACGACAGAGGATGAGATGGTTGGACGGCATCACTGACTCAATGGACATGAGTTTGAATAAGCTCCAGGAGATGGTGAAGGACATGGAAGCCTGGCATGCCACAATCCATGGGGTCACAAAGAGTTGTTCATGACTTAGGGACTGAGCAGCAACAACAAAACATGAGGAATGAAAACATTAATTATGGCATCGTGGGTCAGAGTGATAACACCTCGATTTTATATGTGTTACATGCATTTCTTGCCCTGACTAAACAGGGACGACAACAGCAAAACATGGAGCTGTGCTGTTTGCTGCGTACAATCCACATCGAGGGAGAAGGACAAAATCTCGGCATGTCAGGTGCAAGTCAGATTACTGAACAATGTGTTAAGTTCTAAGGTAAAGAGAGTTAAGTGTGTTTGTGTCTTTACATACACTAAGTGTAAACAAAATTCTCAATAACTGTAAGTGTTCAAAAAAAAAAAAAAGAGTGCTTATGTGTGATTAGTAAAATGTCTAAAAGATTTAAAGTACAAGTCCATGATCAGATGGTACAGAATCCACCTGCAGTGCCAGAGACCCAGGTTCAATCCCTGGGTTAGGAAGAGCCACTGGAGAAGGGAATGGCAACCCACTGCAGTATTCTTGCCTGGGAACTCCCATGGACAGAGGAGCCTGAGGGCTATACAGTCCATGAGGTTGCAAAGCATCAGACACGACTGAAATGACTGACACTTCATGCTTCTGGATAAAAAGATCTGGAAAATATTCTAAATGAAAAATTTCTGTGGAAATAACTAAACCAATTATGGAACAGTCACTAACTTAACAACAATTACTTTGAATCATCAAAAACCTAACTCCATATTTTATAGGAATTATAAAAGCTGCCAACAAGAAGCTAGATTTTAATACATGAGAAATATGTTTTAAGCTTATCTTCTTATCTGACACCTGGGGTTCCTATTTTACTACTTTCCACTCGGTTATGAAAACAAAACAATGATCCACACTCAGATAAGGACCCAGCGGTCGGTCACAGCTCCTACAGTCTGTCAGGGCCAGAGGAGTTCATGCCCTGTTCAGGCTTCAGGGTTGGACACTGCTCTGCCATGACCAGAAGGGGGAAGCACTTGACAGCCCAGGGGTTCTGGAGATCTGCCTCTCCCTTATTAGGGTTCAGGGGATAATGCTTCAACAGGGATCAACAGCTGAGACCCCCCTCTGGGGCAAAGACAGTTTGAAATCCCTGCCCCATGATTTGGAGGTGACCACATAAATTTTAAAGCTTCAAAATTGAGACCAAATCCCATCATTCAGTGAATGAGACCTGGGTCCCTGAGACTTTCTTCCCACCTGCCCACCTGGCTGTCTGGGGGAGCAGGTTACAGAGTTCATGTCTATATCCTGCCTCCCAACCCAGCAGGAGCTTCATTCAGACTCAGTTTCTCTCCAAAACCCCAATGTCTGTGCCTCTCCCCCACCGAAGGGCTCTCTCTCTCTCACTCATGACCTAGTCACTAATGACCCTGGAAAGGGGCACAGTCCTTCCATAGGCAAGGCCAGGACAACAGAACAGGGTGTTCTCCACTACAATGCTATTTGCACAGAAGTCTGAGGACATGTTACTAAGATCTTGGAAGAAGAACAAAACAGCTCTTTTTTGTAATGTTTCATAGTTTACTACAAAAGAAATTTGGTAACAGATCATTCAAAGTATAGAGTCTGCCATTATAATGAAACTTTAATGGTGATTTTTATATATGCTTCAAGTGTATTATGATGAAAAATACCAAGCAGGAAGTAAACCTATTGTATCAAAGTAGGAGACGCTGTCACGGTCGGTCAGGTACCCTGTGTGAGTTTCCATGTGCAAAAAGTATGGGGGTGCAATTTTATATATGTGAGAAGATACTACTGTTCTGTTGGTGGGTATGTGTGCCTCATCACTTAGTAGTGACTACCTCTTAGTGACTACACAGACTATAGCCTGCCAGTCTCCTCTGTTTCCCAGGGATTTCCCAGGTAAGAATACGGGAGTGGGTTGCCATTTCCTTCTCCAGAGGATCTTCCTGACCCAGGGATGGAACCCAGGCCTCCTGCATTGCAGGTGGACTCTTTACCTTCTGAGCCACCAGGAAAGCCCGATGGTGGGGATAGCAGGTGATGAATCAGAAGCCGGTGAACATGATGCAGATGTCACAGCAGAGTCACAGGCATGAAAGACAGGAGGAGGCTGCAGTCTGGGCACTTGCCCTGTGGTCCCCATTCTAACAGCAGCTGGGCGCTTGGGCTCTGCTCCAGATGGTGGACCCTCTAACAGAGGAACCTCCTCCCTGAGTCCCTCCAGCCCTGTGGGTGGGAGCAACTTCTTACTATCACTAATCCCTGCATTGTCTCACTCACCACTGTTTTGCCCTTTTGGCTCTTTCATCTCCTGTGTAACTAATTCACTGCATGGAACACCCTCTCCTATGACGTGGGTTCTATTTTCCTGACTAATCCACACTGATCCACGAGGATGTGCACAGAGGACCAGGGAACCAGGGGGAACGTTTCAGTCATTGGTTAGAGGGGTGCATGGAGTGAGATATTTTGAGACTTCTTGAGAGCAGTCTCTGTTGTTTTTCCTATTTGTCTGAACTTCATAAATAAACCAAGTATTGGAAAATTGCCAATTCTCCCTGTCAACTTGCCACACAGTGCAACCCTTCAGCTGGGAATCTCTGGTGCTCACGATGCCCACCTGCTGTCTTCTGCCCCCGGCTGCCACCAAAGTAGCCAGAACCATCCAGAAGCTAAGGATGGGGGAGACCCCACCTTATCCCACAGCCAAGATCCAATCATGGCCTCATCCAGTGTACAGTAAGAATATCAGGGCAGAAAATGTACACTGATTCCTCAAAGCCTCTGGTCTGTAGCAACTGGTTATGTATTTGTTAGTTAACCCATTCAATACTACAGCATTCTGTCTACTTTACAACCACAAGTAACCCCAAAGGATACTGCCATGTTTAAAAACAGTTGAATCACTGATGCCCAAAATATTAGATCTGGATTTTCAAGAAAAGATGTATGTATGCTCTGTATCTTTTGTTTAAGGTGATCCTATTGTATAGAGCAGTGATTTGCATCTAATATTCTGTAATAAAACATAATGGAAAATAAACTAAAATTAAAAAAAGAATGTTATGTACTTTCAATTCAACATGTGTTAATACTTTGAAAGCTCTGTTGAAAATGAGATAGAGAGCAACATGTCAAACACCTCATGCTGACTTTATACTTAATCTCCATTCACTGCAAACCTTATTCCTGATTCTCAGAATTATCATAACATATTTTCAGTAAATGGGCAAGTCACACTTAACAGTATGTGTAAAATCTCAAAATTATCCAATAAATCTATATCATAGTTGTCTTTTTAGCAGTCATGATCCTGGAATGGACAGTCTCTTACCTTTTGCCAAAAAGTTGTTAAATCTTGCACGCCCACTATCATTTCACCATTCGATGGCAGCTGAGGGTAGCAATGTGACATCTCATCAAGTAATAGAAAGTTCTAGAGAAAAAGGAAAGACATAGATTGTTTATACTGCAAGAACAAAGCACAAACAGAACAACTGCTCCTCTGGAATTTGCAAAAAAAAGTTTTATACCTATCATTTATACCTACCTATCATTTTACAACTGTATTTTATTAAGTCTTGGTTCACATGAGAAACACTATATAACATGTATATAGTACATATTATAGTATATGGTACATATAAGCATATAATATAGTATAGCCTATATATAATATAGTATATACATACATATGTATAGTATGTGTGTGTCTGTGTGTATGTATGTATAAAACAGATAAATAAAGAATTCCTGGCCATGAGGCTATCTTTGTTACTTTCTCAACAAATGTACTTGTTCCTCTCTAAGAAGAAAACATGGCTTCAAACTCCAATACATTTAGAACCTGGACATTTCTACTGTTTTACTTCTGTGTTACCAACAATAAACAGGTGAGCTGGTAGGAAATTTTTCATAAACATTAACTGAATCCCACCAGGTGCCAAGGTCCATGCAACACTGCTAGGAACAGAGAGGAAGGCCTTCGCAGGCCATCAGAATAAGATGGCACAGGACAGGCTAGGAACAAGACCAATGACAGAGACTCTGAATGCAAACACTGCACACTGCTTTCCCCCTCATATGTGTCAATACCACATAACCGCTTGTCATTAACTATCGCTTAAGTCATCATTCTAAAAAGAAAATGCTCTTAAGTTTCTATGTCTTAAAAAATATTTTACAAGCATATTTTCACATTTACTGCTCTTCTCCTTAGTCAATGCCCTCTCTCCTCCACAGCAGAAATGGCCACAGCTCTCATTTCTTGTTATCTTCTATACCACTTAGCAGTTAATAAATGCAATTTAGCTAAATAAGACAAAGTCCTATGAACTGCTACAAACCTGAATCACGTAAAACAAAACTCCCTCTTGTCTTGCAAATGCTAGACATAATTCAAAGAGAAAAGCTAGAATGGTAGAGAAATCGAACAAAACAATTTATACCACTCCCACTCCTCCAAGGTCCCCAAAACTGTGAACATGAGGCAGAGACTGCTGGCTGTCCTTGAAATCTGCTCTCTTTCTTCCGAGGTAACAAACCCTAGATTTTAGCCACACATGGCAGCCTGGAAGGAGGCCCTCTCTCTCCAGCCTCCCGAGCAGACATGAGCAGCCCCGTGACTAAATCCAGGGCAGGGGCAAGTGACAGCATTAGGACCTTCCTCCTTCCCAGCCTGGGCCTTGGGGGCTGTCAGCAGGGTCAAGATCACATGCAGTGGGGTAATAAGAAAGAAATAACAGAAAGAGAAATTAAGAAAACAATTTCATTCACCATTGTGACAAAAAGAATAAAATACTTAGGAATAAATCTATCTAAAGAAACAAAAGACTTATATATAGAAAACTATAAAACACTGATGAAAGGAATCAAAGATGACACAAGTAGATGGAGAAATATACCATGTTCATGGATTGGAAGAATCAATATAGTAAAAATGAATATACTACCCAAAGCAATCTATATACTCAATGCAATCCCTATCAAGCTACCTGAAGAAGGAAATGGCAACCCACTCCAGTCATCTTGCCTGGAAAATCCCATGGACGGAGGAGCCTGGTAGGCTACAGTCCATGTGGTCACAAAGAGTCAGACACGACTGAGCAACTTCACTTCACTCTCTTCACTCACTTCATACTTTATCGCTGGAGAAGGAAATGGCAACCCACTCCAGTGTTCTTGCCTGGAGAATCCCATGGACAGAGAAGCCTGGTGGGCCATGGTTCATGGGGTCACAGAGAGTTGGACACGACTGAAGTGACTAAGAAATCTGAGCAATCAAGATACCAATGGTATTTTTCACAGAACTATAACAAATAATTTCACAATTTGTATGGAAATACAAAATAACCTTGAATAGCCAAAGCAATCTTGAGAAAGAAGAATGGAACTGGAAGAATCAACCGGCCTGACTTCAGACTACACTACAAAGCTACAGTCATCAAGACAGTATGTTACTGGCACAAAGACAGAAATATAGATAAGTGGAACAAAAGATAAAGCCCAGAGATAAATCCCCACAGCTATGGACACCTTATCTTTGACAAAGGAGGCAAAAATATACAATGGAGATAAGACAATCTCTTTAACAAGTGGTTCTGGGAAAACTGGTCAACCACTTGTAAAAGAATGAAACTAGAACACTTTCTAACACCATACCCAAAAACAAACTCAAAATGGATCAAAGATCTAAATATAAGACTAGAAACTATAAAACTCCTAGAGGAAAACATAGGTAAAACACTCTCTGACATAAATCACAGCAAGATCCTCTATGATCCACCTCCCAGAGTAATGGAAATAAAAGCAAAAATAAACAAATGGGACCTAATTAAACTTAAAAGTTTCTGTACAATGAAGGAAGCTACAAGCAAGGTGAAAAGACAGCCTTCAGAATGGGAGAAAATAATAGGAAATGAAGCAACTGACAAAGAATTAATCTCAAAAATATATAAGCTGTTCATGCAGCTCAATACCAGAAAAATAAACGACCCAATCAAAAAATGGGCCAAAGAACTAAACAGACATTTCTCCAAAGAAGACATACAGATGGCTAACAAACACATGAAAAGATGTTCAACATCACTCTTTATCAGAGAAATGCAAATCAAAACACAATGAAGTACCATCTCATGCTATTCAGAATGGCTACTATCAAAAAGTCTACAAATAATAAATGCTGGAGAGGGTGCAGAGAAATGGGAACCCTCTTTTGGAGGAATGCAAACTAGTACAGCCACTATGGAGAACAGTGTGGAGACTCCTTAAAAAACTGGAAATAGAACGGCCATATGACCCAGCAATTCCACTGCTGGGCATACACACCGAGGAAATCAGAATTGAAAGAGACACGTGTATCCCATTGTTCATCACAGCACTGTTTACAATAGCTAGGACATGGAAGCAACCTAGATGTCCATTGGCAGATGAATGGATAAGGAAGTTGTGGTACATATACACAATGGGATATTACCTAGCTATTAAAAAATGCATTTGAATCAGTCCTAATGAGGTGGATGAAATGTAGCCTATTCTACAGAATGCTAAGATGCTCATGTTTGTGAACATTTCTCCCCTAGAAGAGAATGTCTCCGAGTCCCTCAACTCCCTACACTTTGCCTCCAAGGTGCAGTCACTACCAGCCCCATCCCCGTCAGGCTTCCTGCTGATTATAGGCTTCTCCACCCTGACCCTGCTGTCCTTCAGGCCAGTGGGCACATTCATCCAGAAAGGATATACATTTGCCAGGCATTTAACTATTGACTTTTGGGGGGTTTTAATTAAATTTTTAAAACTAGATAGTTGAAAGGTCAAAACTATGTACAAAGCAGTATACAAGTGAGATTTAACCACTGCCCCATCCACCTCATTCTCCCCACCTGTCCTAGTAGTCATTTTCATCATTTATCCTTTTACTTCTCCTCTCAATGTTTCTTTTTGCAAATACAAGCAATATGCATGGGATTTCCCTCTTTCTTACATAAGACATCTCTTCCCCTCTCTCTCATATATTATATGTTGTCCTGCTTTTTTAATTTTTTCTATTTTTTTTTTTATTAACAAGACAGCTTTAAGGAGGGGGTGGTGGCCAGGAGAGTAGGGGAAATGAAAGAAAAAAACAGCCCCAGGATGACTCCCCACCAGCACACAGAGATCATCCCATTATTTTTACATTTGCCTAGGACTCCACTGTATGGATGCACAAAAGTTTATCCATCAGTTCCCTCTACTGGACACTTGAATTCTTTCCACCTTTTTACTATTACAAACAAGGCTATGTTGAATAACTTTGTACATCTTATATTTGCTTGGTTACATCTAACCATCCAGAGAGAGATTCTTTGAAATGGGATCCCTGGATCAAAGACATACAGGTTTTTCAGGCTATTCCAAATAGACAGTGTGAATTCAGAATCCAGTCCCCACAAGGGTCAGCTGAGTCCATGCTATGAATTCTCTAAGAAACTTAAGCTCCCTCTACAAAAGTTAAATCAGGAAGTTTCTTGATAGGCTGCCTTGGAGGGTAATATATTCCTCTGATAACATATTGTCCTGAGGATATAGCCTTGTGAAGCGTTCTGGTTTTATTCAGGATCTCAGATCGTAGGTGCTGTTTTGCACTCTTGCTGCCGTGGAAGTAATCAGCCACCTTACCGCCCTGCTGTGGTCTTCTGCTTTAATCAGGATTTCCCTTGCTATCTTACAAGTTCAATTAAAGTTCTGTCAACATCATTGATACCCAACAACATGAACTCTTTGATATCCTCTAATACCCAGTTTAGAGGGTATGGTGGCTTTCCTGGTAGCTCAGAGAATAAAGAATCTGCCTGCAATGCAGGAGACCTGGGTTCAATTCCTTGGTAGGGAAGATCTCCTGAAGAAGGAAATAGCATCCCACTTCAGCATTCTTGCCTGGAAAATCCCATGGACAGAGGAGCCTGGTGGGCTACAGTCCATGGGGTCGCAGAGTCGGACACAACTGAGCAACTAACATACACACACACACAGAGTGAAGTAAGTCAGAAAGAGAAACACCAATACAGTATATTGACACATACATGTGGAATTTAGAAAGATGGTAACAATTACCCTATATGTGAGATAGCAAAAGAGATATAGATACAAAGAACAGACTTTTAGACTCTGTGGGAGAAGGCAAGGGTGAGATGATTTGAGAGAAGAGCATTGAAACATGTATAATCAGCTCAGTCGCTCAGTCATGTCTGACTCTGTGACCCCATGAACCACAGAATGCCAGGCCTCCCTGTCCATCAACAACTTCTGGAGTTTACCCAAACTCATGTCCATTGAGTCAGTGATGCCATCTAACCATCTCATCCTCAGTCGTCCCCTTCTCCTCCTGCCTTCGATCTTTCCCAACATCACGGTCTTTTCAAATGAGTCACCTCTTCACATCAGGTGGCCAAAATATTGGAGTTTCAGCTTCAACATCAGTCATTCCAATGAACACCCAGGACTGATCTCCTTTAGGATGGACTGGTTGGATCTCCTTGCAGTCCAAGGGACTCTCAAGAGTCTTCTTCAACACCACAGTTCAAAAGCATCAATTCTTCTGCGCTCAGCTTTCTTTATAGTCCAACTCTCACATCCATACATGACTACTGGAAAAACCATAGCCTTGACTAGACGGGCCTTTGTTGATAAAGTAATGTCTCTGCTTTTTAATATGCTGTCTAGGTTGGTCATAACTTTCCTTCCAAAGAGTAAGTGTCTTTTAATGTCATGGCTGCAATCACCATCTGAAGTGATTTTGGAACCCCAAAAAATAAAGTCAGCCACTGTTTCCACTGTTTCCCCATCTATTTGTCATGAAATGATGGGACTGCATGCCATGATCTTAGTTTTCTGAATGTTAAGCTTTAAGCCAACTTTTTCACTCTCCTCTTTCACTTTCATCAAGAGGCTCTTTAGTTCTTCTTCACTTTCTGCCATAAGGGTGGTGTCATCTGCATATCTGAGGTTATCAATATTTCTCCCAGAAATCTTGATTCCAGCTTGTGCTTATATTACTATATGTGAAATACATGACCAGTCCAAGTTCAATCCATGAAACAGGGCACTCATAGCCAATGCACTGGAAAAACCCAGAGGGATGGGATGGGGAGGGAGGTGGGAGGGGGGTTCAGGATGGGGGACATGTGTACACCTGTGGCTGATTCATGTCAATGTAAGGCAAAAATCACCACAATATTATAAAATAGTTAGCCTCCAATTAAAAAAAATAAATTAATTTTTTTAAAAAAAGAAAGAAAGAATCTGGGTCCCTAACACCATGGAGAATCACACTAACCATGGAATTTATTATGAGATGAATTGAATCCCCACAAAAAAAAAGATACACTACAGTCCTAACTCCAGTTACTTCAAAATATGACTTTGTTTGGATATTTGGCTGTTGTAAATGTAATTAATTAAAGTAAGATCACAGTGGAGTAGGGTGGGCCCTGAATCCAATATGATTGGTGCCCTTATGAGAGATGCAGAGCACATCCAAAAACAGCTACCTGATGATGGAGACAGAGGCTGGAGTGATGGCAGTTACAAGTGAAGGAATGCCCAGGTTTGCCTAAAACCACTCAAAGCTCACAGAGGCAAGAAATTATGCTCCTTTATCAGATTCAGAGGGATCCTGACCCTGCTGACACCTTGATTTCAGACTTCTGTCCTCCAGGGCTTTGAAATAATGCATTCCTGTGGTTTCAAGCCACCCAGTTTGCAGTACTTTCTAACAGCAACACCAGGAAACCCATTCAGAGCCTCACAAGGATTCTTGCATGAGAGAAAAACAAATGGCCCCTGTGAGCAGCTTTAGCATGGGTACCTCTAGGACCCACAGGCAAACTGAATCCTTACCAATAAGTGGGGAAACTGAAACAAGCATGTGAGGATGTTTTAGAAAGAAAACAACACATAAATAGTAATCTACTATCTTAAATATCTTGACATCCCATCTATTGTGCCTCAGAATCATAAATGTGATTGCAAACTTCTACTTCAAAAGAAGAACTGGTAAAAACTGAATGTGAAAACCATTGTGCAGAAAAAGAAAGACATGATCCTTGCATTTCTGTCAAATATCAGCTGGTGGAAGATGCAATTCATTCATTCCTTCCTCCTCTCAACCAAGCTCACTGAGAACCTAACACAAGGCACAGAGACTCATACCCTCTCTAAGCCTGTGTCCACCAGGAGGCAGGATGGATGGATGGTGCTCTGAGGACACGTTTGCAGGCTTTCAACCATTATAGCCTGAGTTCTCTCTCTGCACCACCTCTCCCATGATCAGCCAGGTACCAGCTCTCACTTGTTCTGACACAATTCACATCTCTCCTAATTTTCTTTTCCTCTTGAAACAACATAATTTCAGAATCTCACTCATTATTAGTTATTTCAACAATGCAACTTTTCTTTTTATGGTTCCTTCCCCAGTCCTCCCCAACATCACTGACCCTACCCCAAGACAACTCCCTCCTGTTCTCCTTACAGCCCCTCAGAGAGTGTCCACAAGCTTAACACCACCCCCGCTCTCCAGTGACCCACCTGCACCTGAGTCCAGACTCCCCAGGAGGGCTCTGCCTGATTACTGACCCCATCCAACCTTCTGGGCCCATCTCAAATGCTAACAATACTGAAACAAGCTCAGGATATCCCTAGCTGGCACTGCCCTCCCTACCTCTGAATCCCCGGAGTAATACTAAGTCACAAAGAGGGGAGACACTACATCATTCATGCACATTTACAGTCCCAACTCCAACTAAGACTGAGCCTTGCACAGTCAGCCCATCATGGGTATCAGATAAAGGAAGGAACACACTGCATAGGTGTTCAAACCATCCAACCACTGACTGCATGGCTACAGCTTTACAAAGTCTAAGCTGACACAGCAACAAGCAACAGGTGATGAGACAGGCTGGGACCTAGGACCCTGTGTGAGAGTGCTTGCACCTAGACAAACATCTCCTTGAGCAACAAAATACAAATAAACCATAAGGGACTAAACATAACTGCATCCATGCAAAGGAAATTACGAACAGTAAGATATAAAAACACCACAAGCCAACTGCCATTTCTGAGCTTCTGGGAGCAAAGAAGGGAACCGCATATGATCTTAGCACACAGCATCTACAAGATGGTGGGCAGACCACATAAGTCACCCCTGTGGCTCAAACCAGCAAACCTCCCCCACCCTCACCCCACTTAGGGAGTTAGTCTGCCCTTCTGAGTCAACAGGCGCCATCAGTTTTCTGTTTTTATACTTTGTGATACAGCACAAGCCGCAAAAAACCTTGCTTGAATTTCTCATCTGGCCTATTATAAACTTCTATTGATTAAAAAGACCAAGGGCCCTGGGGAGTAATATATGTGTTATATATCTGGTCTAGACAGAATCAAATACAGTTTCAGCTTAAGCATGTAACCAAGACATCAATACTCAGTCTGTGTATACTAGAATAGAAATTTCTCACTTTCAAACACAAAAGAAAGAAAAGGAAAATTATGCCCTAAGTGAAGAACTAAATTTACTAAGCATTTGTCCACAAATAATATTACTGAGGGGGACAGATGTCACAGTCTTCCAAGGGTTAAATGAGACCCCATCCAATACATGATCAGCTCATAAAGGTGCCAGAAATGCTGGCTGGATTTTTCTCCAGGATTCAGGCTGATGAAAAAGCTGAAATTAAATGGCCATTAGCCAGCAAGTGCAGACCCAGAACAGGTTATATGGGAAAGTATCAACACCAGAATGGCAGCCAAAGAGACTGACTTCCCAGTGACTGGTAATGGAAAACCTAAAGCTGCTTTGTGAACAGTATCACCTCAGAGACACATTTGACTGGATGTAAAAGTCACTGAAGACTTTTAGTGCTTTGAAGTTAAGATCTTTTGCAATCCTACTAGAGTCATTCAGTGCCAAGACCATGGGTCCCCCTTCCTCTCTTAGAGAAAAATAGAGAGACTTCTTGGGCTTATGAGGTCATAATAAATCATTCATTTGCACAGAGCTGATATAATCTTCATTTTAAACAGAAATAGTTGACAACCTACTGTCTGCCAGGCCCTTGTCTTTGTGATAAAAATTATTTACCCCTGACTATTTAGGGACAGTTAGTTTTAAAAAAGGAGACAATAGATATGGTGGGGATCATACGTTTGAAAGGAAGAGGGCAGCTAGAGACAGGCTTACACAATAAGTAAAATAAGAACAAAAATACAGAGATCAGAAATCAGTGAGAAAACATCTGTGGAGGAAAGAATCCACTTTTAAACACAGAGAACTAAGTGAATCTGAGGCCACTCTTCCTGCCCAGGGAACAGGACTTCTCAGCAAGTTTCTCCCCTCCTGGCCCAGAAAGGAATCCTAGTCATCCCAGGACTGTGTGCAGTCACTGCCTAGAAATTCCAGTCAGCACAGCAGATGCATCTGTTCACTTCTCCTGCTTTTAGACATTTCAATCATCCCACAGCCATCACTGCAGGTCAAGAGCATGTGTTGCTGCTATTTATACCACCAGCCTTAAACAAGCATGTATTTTATGATAGTTTTAATGCACTTTACCTAAGAAATACAGACATTTTTGAAAGACTGCCAGCTTGGCACTGAAAGAGTTAAATTCACCTAACTGGCTCACAGTGACACCACATAAAAGGAGGCATTTTAGATAAAATCTGCCTATAACTTTAAAGTTATTTTGCACTAAACCTTGATTCTTTGGATGCTGACAACGGCCTCTGACATCTTCTCAACGGCCATGGGGAAGTAGAGGGTGCTAGAAAATCGCAGAGTCTCGAACAGCATCACCACCACGAACACTTGGCTGCCTGTGATCAGGTTGTCACGGAGCTCATTACTGATGAAGGTGACAAAAATCATGATTTTGCTCACAACAAAAAATGATGCCAAATTCATGCCCCTAAGGTAGGAACTTCTCAGAATCTTGGAAATTTCCTTCCTGGAAAAGAAAGTAGGACTTAAGTTTTATAAGAAGCATCAACATACAAGATATGAACTCAGCACCCCATGTGAGTGGCCCCTTTCTAGGGAGTGGACATAGATAAGGATAAACCATCCCTCACCTTATGGAGACACTACCCAGTGCATACCCAGGGGTCTGCCCCAACATCAGGACCACACACATCATCACCACTTCACTCCTTCAAGTAAAAGGAGGCTTAATGTCACACTTTCAAACATTTTGGGTCAAACAGACTGGATCCTAACATTCATTCAACAAACATGCATAATCACAAGTCCTGTGCTGGGCTCCTCACAGAAAGACACAGTCTGTCCCATCCAGGAGCTCATGAAATTGTGAGGGAAGAGAATACAACACCCCAAAATTGTGAGACACGAAGACAATAGATAGAGGCAGTCAGCACAGCCCCTGCAGGAGCCCAGAGCAGAGGCGTGTACCCCAGAGCAGTGGAGTCAGGGCAAGTCACACACACGTGGACCCTGAGAAGATGAGCTGGAATCTTCAGGCTTCTACTTGGCGGAAGCCAGAGGAGAAGGAAGATGGGAGTGTATTCCCAGCAGAGGGAGGGTCCCCACAAAGGTGCAAAGTCAGAGGTAACAAGGTGGGGTCAGAGAAATGCTCATCAGATATTTAAATGAAAGATGGAGAAACATCCTACAAACATGAAGTAAAACAAAAGGAACAGTATTTTCATAGCTCTGTTTGAAATGAATAATAGTGATTCATGAGCTTTCCTGGTGGTAAAGAATTCACCTGCAATGCAGGAGACATGGTTTCAATCTCTAGGTTAGGAACATCCCTTGGTGGAGGAAATGACAACCCACTCCAATATTCCTTCCTGATAAATCCCATGGACAGAGGAGCCTGACAGGCCACAGTCCATGGGGTCGCAAAGAGTAAGACATGACTGAGTGACTAAGCATGATGACAATGAAGAGTAGTGATTCATATAGTTTGGCTCAACACAGGTACAACCGATCTCTATAACCTCCCCATATATGCTCCATAAACATAAATTACAATTTTAGTTTGAATATCATAGTTTCAAATACTATCTTAAAGCATTGCTTATTTGGGATTTGAGGTATTAAGAAGTATTCAGAATTTCATTTCTATATAAGTAAGAAGCATATATATCTTTTCCTCTGTGAAAGTCACTCAATCATGTCCAACTCTTTGCAACCCCATGGACTATACAGTCCATGAATTCTCCAGGTCAGAATACTGGAGAGGGTATCTGTTCCCTTCTCCATGGGATCTTCCCAACCCAGGGATTGAATCCAGGTCTACCACATTGAAGGTGAATTATTTACCAGCTAAGCCACCAGGGAAACTCTTTTTTCCTTTGAGAAGATGGTAAATGGAAAAGCAGGTTAAATGACATCTCCACCATTCTACTTAACCCTACTGCAACATGTGGAGGATGCAGTAAATAGTAAGTGTTTAAGTTCATGTTAATGTGAAAGTGAACTTAAATACTTATTTGGTAAGACATCTAAAGCATTCAGTAGGGGAAATAAATCATGAAAACATGGAGTGATATATATATATATGTATATATGTATATGTATATATAAATAAACTCACCTTCTCAATCTGGTAATAAGGTCTATAAATGACTTTTCCCAAGCATTCATTTTTATTGTTCTGATGCCAGTTATGGCTTCACTCATGGTCCTGATCCTGTCGTCTGTGAGAGCTGCGGTCTTACTCCTGAGGGGACAGACGTGAGAGATGAGCCTTAGTGACCACGGCCCAACTTTCCTCAGCACCAGCAGCAGGAGTGGGGACAGGCGAGGTAGACAGGAATCAAATTATTCTCTACAGCTCTTTTGCACTTACAAAACAGGCAGGTCCTAGTCAAATTACTAACCGAGAAAAAAGTTTCAATTAGGAAGTCAACCACTCAGCCCATTTCAAGAAGTAACTTGGAGAATGTGCAGCATCGGCTATGGAAGACCTAAAATGAGTCAGATACGAACTGTTTGCTCAAGGAGGTCACAGACAGGTAAGGAAGGCAGAAAGGCACCTGAACCTACCAGGAAGACAGTGGCTGTACTGTAATAAAATAGGAGTGAAGTTCTGAGGAGCAGAAAAGATGGGGCTGTTAATTCCAGCAGGAAAGGAGAACAAGAAGAGCTTCAGAAACCTGGTAGCACTGGAACAGGGCCTTGAAGGATAGGGACAAAAGAGAGAAAAGGGAATTCCAAATAGAGAAAGACACCAGGCACAGAACCACACCCACACAACACACACAAGAGCTCAGTTAGCTTCAAACAGCACAACATCCCCGTCACCTGAAAACCACCCACCTCCAACCCTCTGGGACCTGCTTCAGGTCTAACTCATCACCAGAAGGCTCTTCACCACCAGCCACTTTTCTGTCACATATGCTGCTGCGAATGTGGGGCTTCATAAAGACACAATGAAGATCAGCCTGGCCCTTGGGGTGCTTATAACTTAATGGAAACATGAACATAATACCTGAAAAGGCTCCAACACAAGCATAACAAAAATACATGCAGTGAGAAATGGGCCTACAAGATTATTACATTTTAACAATATTTAAATAATTTGGACATGGGTAAATTCTGTTGAAGGACACTCTACTTATTCAGATATGGTGCCAAGAGAAGCCAGTGAATGCCTTCGCTGTTCCTGTTTCAATATGCACTTCAGCATAAGGCTGGAACCTCCACTGGCTAAGCCTGAAGGGTCTACAACCCACACAAAGAAGAGACCAGAGAAGGCATTTGTCTTGTTTTTCAACAAAAGCATCAAGCATATTGTGGATGTTACCAATTACATATTATCAATTTTTAAAAGAAGTGTTTCTCTTACCGGAGTGATGAAAACAACTTCCCGGTGCAGCTTTGCAAAAGCAGAAGAATAATGAGAACTGCCATCCCAGCAAGACAGGATATTCCTATTTCCATCCAGAGCAGGGCAGTCACTGCAATAGCCTGCAGTGGTCCCACCCACAGATAGTGCAAGAACATTGTTACCTTAAGAGAGAAAGACAAAGCCTTCTTGGGATGGTATAAAAACAAAACCGCAAAGACACAGTGTAGAAACACTTTGCTCTGAAGGAATAGCCAGGAATTTAAACAGAAATTATCTCAGTGGGTTTTAAACCTGTTGAAGCAGAAAACCAAGTGTCCACCGCAGATGACGCTGTTCCGGGGCAACATAGGGTCAGACTCAGGGATGGTCAGGGAGGACTCTACCAGCAGCACTGAAGGAAGATGTTGATTTTGTCTACACCACAGATGAGCTCAGGACTTCCTCAAATGCTTCTTGTCACAGAATTTATCCCTCATTACCCTGGGGCTCCCCAGCACTCCAGGAAACCCTATATTATGGTACCCACCACTCTCTCCAGTAAATACTTATGTATTTATCTCCCTGATAGGCTATGGCTTCGATAGGGCAGAAACTAAGCTTTATTCATCCATGAAACTGGGCATGGGCCTTACTTCATGTTTGATGAATAAATACTTGAAGAGAAGCGTCTAGTGTAACACAGATCTGACCAACAGCTACAACATCCTGGGTCATGTGACCTATGCCTAAGGTCAGTGGAGAAAAGAGTGTGGGGGGAGACAACAGAGGTTAGGTTGTGTTTGGCTGGGGACCACCAACTTGGCATATTCCTCTCAGGCTTCCTGTGAAGCAGGCACTGAACAGGAATCCTTGCCCACCCGGCCTTCATCATCCATAGGAGGAAGAAGACAGTTCAGGCAGCAACACCAACACCATGTGTCAAGAAGGGCCACTCCAGGAAGACCCGCTGGAAATACTAATCAAGCCAAGCAAGAACGCTGCTGCCTATTTATTATCAGAAAAATGAAATTGTCACTTACTGAACAACACATATAATTGCATCTAAACTGCACAAAGAGAAATGAAAGTTGGATAAATAGAACCTTTGTCTTACATCCTTGATGGAATCCTGGCCAACACCAAACTCTGGCACCTGGCATCCCAATAAGCTGAACCCAGTGAGAAGGACGGGACATGGAAGAGGATCCCTCAGAGGCAGCTTACCTGGTCAAACCTGTTCACATCGTTGGACAGCAGGTTAACCATCTGTCCTGTGGTGGTCTTCCCCATGGCCGAGGTACTAAGGCAAAGTGTCTGAAATGAGAAGGGGAGACATAGAACTGAATGCCTAAGTCATCTTAGAACATAACACAATGGAGCATGTGTTCCTGGGGTCTTGAGTGGTGTCAGCACAAGCAGGATGACCCCTGACAGCAGGGCTCTAGGGATTCTCGTTCAGCCTTTAACTCCTCAGTGTGGCAGCAGCCCTGCTTCAACGATGTCAAAGGGAGGAGCAGGAGGTAGAAGCAAAATCCCCACCTCTGCACCCCCCACCCCCAAGTTTCAATGAACTTGGGCCTGTCTGGAAAGTAAAGGGTATAGGTTTACACTTCAGAGACAACTAAGTAATTTTGAGCCAAATTAGATGAGAGTGGAGAGGCTGCCTTAAGGAAAGAAATTCTGAGACTTGGAATATAAATCTGGACTCAATCATTAATTCTGTGGGTGATAATATTTAAACACTTTGGGCTTAGTTTATTCATTCTGAAATGGGCAAGTATAATGTCCAAAACACTGTTCCTGTGCGGAAGCTGTGTCCTTAACGCCAGTCTGCTGAATCTACAAAAAATACAACCCATGTTGCACAATCCCTTTATTTAGTAAGAAAAATGCCTTAGAGATCTAAGGAAACTGAAAGACACCAGGAGCTGCTACAATAGACCACCAATTGGAGCCACTGATCCAAACAAAATGTCATAGTTATAAAAATGTTTTGTTTACTCCTCAAGTTAAAGAAGAAAATCAGTCATCAAGAGAGAATCTGAAATGATATAACCACAATGGAAGAAAATATGGATATTCCTCAAAAATTAAACATTAAATTAACATACAATACAGCAATTATACCACTAAGGATATACTCAAAAAAACTAAAAATACAAACTTGAATAGATAATTTGTATGTTCATATTCATGGCAGCGATGTTCACAATAGCTAAAAGGTGGAAACAACTGTCCGTTGACAGATAAGCAAATATACAGAATGTTGTATAGACCTATAATGGAATATTATTCAGCCTTAAAAAGGAATTAAATTCTGACACCTGACACGACATGGATGAACCTTGAAGACATCATGCTACAGAACACAAGCCACACACAAAATAACAAACACTGTATGATTCTACTTACACGAGGTGTTAAAATAGTCAAATTCACAGAGAGAAGAAGTAGAATGGTGCTGGGTGAGGGGACAGGGGTTGGGGAGTTAGTGTTTAATGGGTGCAGAGGTTCAGTTTGGGAAAAAGAAAAAGTTTTGGAGATGAATGATGATGATAGCCACACAACAATGTGAATATACTTAATGTCACTAAATGCTGCACTTAAAAGGAGTGAAAATGGTAAACTTTATGCTGTGTATATTTTACCAGAATAAAAAAAGATCAATGATCAAAAGCCAAATGTAACTTTACCAAATCTGTGCTAATGTATTAATAAGTAAATGGCAAGTCATTTTTATATATGATATCTCCCTCACAATCATGCAAAATTCAGCTACAAAGAGCATGAAAATGCTAAATGGGCCATTTTAGGAGTGGCAAATGTGCAGCCTTAGAGACCTCCTGGAGACCTGCCACTGCCTGGAATCCATGGTGAGGACAAACTCTGGCTATGACCTTAGCAGCCACTCCATTTCTAACACTCGACCTGATTTTTTCCCAGGACCACGGATCAGGAGGTGGGGCCCACAAGATGAACCACAAATGTTCAGAGGGGCCTTTCAGATCTACTCTGTAGCGCCAGCTTTTGGACCCTTAGGAATCAACCCATCTGTAACCTGAAAAGAAGTATCTTGCTTCTGCAACAATAGGACTCTTGATGCAAGCCTGTGCACAAGGAAATTTGTTTTTCCCAGGTTTCTGGAATTTCAGGTTATGTCTATGGTATAATCTGCACAATTGCTGACTTCATATAGGAACCATCTTTTAAGTATAATTAAGCCAGCAAATGAACATTTTGGGACATGTTTACATTCACATAAGCCAATGTGCCAGGTCAGATCACATTTACAAAAGGAAAAATTTCAAAGTGTTAGAGGGAAGAGGAAGAAAAACAGGTGGACAATGGCTCACCTATGCTGCAAAGAGTGAGCTTTGACTAAACCATCACCTCACATCTAACTACAGGTTATTGCAATGCAGTTCTGGTAAAATTTCATAATTGTTATGAGAGTTATGGAGAAGGAAATAGCAACCCACTCCAGTATTCTTGCCTGGAGAATTCCACGGAACGAGGAGCCTGGCAGGCTAGAGTCCATGGGGTTGCAAAGAGTTGGATATGAGTGAGTGACTATCACTCACGTGAGATCAGCATCATATGAAAAGACAAACATTTAGCTAGTTTGTGGGGACATTTGAGTATCCATCTCCTAAGTGGTTAAAGATGCAACAGGATAACAAAGATGATAAATGACAATGAAGACCCCTCACTGGAGTGAGCAGGCACCGCTGTGATTTCCACATCACCCAGAAGGAAACCAGTTCAGATGTTGCTGTCAAACAAGACAGTGAGATGCCAGACCCCCAGGTTCACAAAGTCCTAAGATGTACAAGACTCTGCTCAAGAAAAGATGAGATGACATCTCACTTTCTGCTGACAGAAGTATTCTGAAGAAATAGAGGTTCTAGATAAGTAACAACTAGGTAAAAGAAGCAATATTTCAATTTAAGCGGTTTGGTTTTATCTTTCAATGAGGACTTTATTAATAAAATTTGTATATATATGTGTGTGTGTGTATATATATATATATATATATATATGGTTACCACATGATATTTTTATATAAATACAACCACTTAAAGTATCCACTACATAATATAGTTATCCTATTTTACATGTGTGGTGAGAACACTTAAGATCTACTCTTTTGGAAAATTTCAAGGCTACAATACAGTCAAACAAGGATTTTTTTTTTTTTGTAAAGCACAGTCTAAGGCAAAGAGGTATCCAGGATCAAGTTTACACAGAGAACTGCAGCTCTTGACACTGATGTATCTGTGGCAATACCTTTGTAAAGATACCCAAAATCCTTATTCCTTTTATACTAGTTTAGACCAGGGTAAACTATGGAATAATTTCATGGCATTCCTCAATATAAAATCGCTGAACACATTAAAATCAGTCTTATTAAAAGTTCTATGATGCATACTAAATGGAAATATTGTATTAAAATAGTTTAAATGAAAAACAATAAATTCTCTTTAGAATGAATAAAACAGTGTAAAATTTCAAGTTTTATCTCAAATACTCTACTATCTTCTTTAATATACCATTAACAAGAATCACATCTACAGAAAATAGTGAGTAAGTCTATATTTGGCATGAATTCTCTTTATATTTTTCTCTAATTAACATAATTATATTGAATATAATGGGAAGGGTCTTTTAAAATTATAATCATTTGTTTTCTCAAATACATTCTCTGCTTCTAGATATAGTTTTGTAGATCCAATCTCTGAAGTTCACTTTTAATAAATATTTGATGTAAATTAAAATGAACAACAAAAAATTTCCATAAACAGCACTATGGGATTTAGGCATGAAGACACTAAAAATCAACTTGATACACTGTCATTTATTTTTAAATATTAATTTAATATTTTAAAATATAATTTAATATTAATTCAATACTACAAATTTAGTGGGTATTATGCAACAGCCTATAGCTTAAAGTTACCAAGGGCAGCCCTCACTTTATCTCAAAAGAAAACCTTTCATTATTTATTGGTCAAGTTTGCCTCAACAACAACAACAAACTTGGCTTGATGCAAACAGCAAGCTTCTCTGGGAAGGTGTAAATGATCCCAGTTATGAAATTTTTAGTTTACAGAGAACTTTCTCCAAATGTTTCCGATGCTTCAGGGGAGGTTACACTGTGGTACCAAGTGACACTCACCTTGCGGTAGATCATATGGCACACGGCTACTCTCAGCCTCATCCCCACACGCTGAATGTGATAGAAGTACAAGTGGTGCAGAACGGCCCACATGAGCACGCAGGCACTGAGCGCTGCCGCGTAGCCGTAGGCTTCATGCAAAGCAGCAGAATCGGTGGGATGGTAGTTTTCAACATAACTAATCATTTTCCCAAAAAATATGGGTTGAACTACTCTGGTGCCTTCCTAAAAGAAAAGAGAAAAAAAAGTCTTAATTAGAAATGTCAGCTTTTCTTAACACATTATTTACTTTTAGCATTAGCATGTTAAAAATACATTTTGACAAAATGCTACATTCATGGCTAATTTAAAAGAAAAATATACAGATCCACTATCTCCTATAAGACAAGCAAGCAACAGTTTAACATTAAGGCAAAATTTTACATTCAAAGATAGTAAAGCCTTAGTGCATCATGCTTAGTGCACTGTGGATGCTCAGTAAATACCACAACCAGGCTCAATACCAACTGAACCTTAAGATGAATAAGGAAAAAGGTGGCAGAAGAAGAGTAAGAAATCTGCTTCCACAGGAACAAGCCTGCTGGCAGCCTGCCCCTGTCCCCTGTACTCTCAATGCCCCAGCCCAATAGAAAGTCAACCAGGTTCACATATGCAAGACACGCTTTTATGACCTTCTTCATGAATCTTTACAAACTAAGACACTGGCACAAGCACATCCACTCTTTTCTGCCCCAAACTCCACATGCCTGAGGGAATGGAAACCAGCTTTGGCTGGAGTACCACAAAGAAACCAGGCTTGGCAGCTCTGCAGACTCTCAGCTCCCGAGAGCACTACCTCAATATGCCTTTACCCCCTAGAAGTTGAAACGTTCCTTGGAGTAAAGAATTAAACATGGTAGAGGCCAAGCTAAAAAATCATGTCTTCTGTGGTTCTCCATCCACCATCCACTGCAGTTGGTGGTTTGGAAGAAATGTTCCCAATCCTCTCTTCCCCAAGGCTAAACAAATTGACTCAGAGTACAATGAGGCTTCCACCCTGAGTAATATTTAGGGAAAGCAACTTTCTTTCCCAAAGAAAAAGACAAAAAAACAGCAACAGTTACCCACCCTGCCAAACAGCCACTTCACCCCACAGCCTACTTCCTCTCTCTAGTCACTCCTTGAAGGGCCCCTTCTGCCCAGGTCCCCTTCCTTCTCCACCATCAAGGAAAACCAAACACTCAAAGAATCCAAGTCACCAAAAGTAAACACCTTGGCTCTCAAGGCCATTTCCTCCACAGACCTCTCAAAAGACAAAATGCCAAAATTTTGGAAATCTTTCAGGAACAGGGCTTTTCCTTTTCGGCAATCCTGCCTTACTAACAGACAGGGGAAGCAACTGACAGGTTTGTTTTGATAGCTCTCTTCTGTCTGTCTGAACCTGAGGAACACACACACAACAGGAAGGGAAGGAGAATCCATAGCACCAAACACCAAAATAATTAAGCATTTTCTGCTCAGCCAGCTAGTGTCTGATCAGGATATTTACCAAAAGATGGCTGAGTCCCTCATATGGGCGTCTCATTAAACCTCAACATTTCTGTCTTGATCTATACACATGTACACACACACATTCTCAGGCTGCACCAACTGCTTCTCCTTCCATAAAGCCATAGAAATTTTCATCTACCATAGAGGATAAAGGGAACACTATTTAGTTGAAGTATAAGATGATCAGACTGAGTAAAATGATCACTTCTCATACATTTCCACTGTGTCCTGTCATCCATCCCATGAGGCATAGAGAGCTCATGGAAGAGTCCCTTATACAATGGATTGCCAAACATACTGTTTATAGAGTTTCCTGAGATGGAAATGTGGAGGCCCACACTAAGAACCAAGAACATCAAACTGTACACACCGTAACTCCCAGCCCAGGTATGGCCAAGGGCAGTCCAGTGCTGCAGCCACAAACCACCAGAAGCCCAGCAGTAATATCTGCCATCCCAAACTTTCCCGAAACTTGTGATTCTCTTTGGGAATCACTGTTTTCTGTTACTCAGCACTCCATTTGAGCTTAACATCCTTGTAATTACAGGAGAAATAAGAGTAATGTCACTCATCAAAAAAGAATAAGAATAAATGTAACAAATCTGGCAAAAGAGGCTGTAAATGAAGGCAGGTCACTACTGCCTAAACATATCTGGATTTTTCACTGACAGGAAGTGTTTGATAACCCAGTGAGGGCTTCCCTGGTGGCCCAGTGGCCAAGACTCCACATCTCCACACGCCCAGTGGAGGGGACCTGGGTCCAGTCCCTGGTCAGGGAACAGATCCCACGTGCTGCAACTAAGACCTATCACAGCTAAACAAATAAATATTAAAAAAAAATAGTTGAACAAACAGCCTTGATAAGGTATTAATACCAGTTAATAGCCCATATCTTCCACTCATCGGTGAATTTTTTTTCTTTTTCTTGATAGTGATTATTCTTTATTTGGGACAGAAATTTTCAAAAAGATAAAGGTTTTCAAACATGAACTGTTACTTTAATCTTATGTAATTTGAGGGGAGAGTCATTTATTATTCTTAAGCACTATATTGGTACTTCCTCTGATGGCCCAATGGAAAGAAATTCATCTCAAAGCACGAGACACAGGAGATGCAGGTCTGATCCCAGAGTTGGGGAGATCCTCTAGAGGAGTAAATGGCAACCCACTCCAGTATTCTTGCCAGGATAATCCTGTGGACAGAGGAGCCTGGTGGGCTACAGTCCATGGGGTCACAAAGTCAGACACAACTGACTGACTGAGCACACATGCACAACTTTGGCTCCAACAAGGAGGAGTCATGGCAATTCAGGGAAGTGATGAAAAGTATAATGTACAAGGAATTTCCATTCTTGCATAAGTTGCAACTATTGAAAATAGAAAATTGATGTTATACTCTATATGAAAAATACCAGCAAGTAAAGAACAATTTTCCAGTAATTTTTCTCAAAAAACTAGAAAACAAAATAGTGAATAGCAAAAAACTATGAAAACAAAACCCCAAAGTACATATACAGAATAAGAATACACATATTAAATATGATTCTTCAAAGCTTCCAGAATACACAAGACTGAAGTTACTGAGGCCATCAAAGGTAGACTAAGTAAATCCATCCCCTCCACACACAAGGAAAGGTTAGAGATGAAGTCATTTAACAGGAGAGCTGGCAACAGCATTTGTAATCTGTGTTTCCATTTCTGGCATTTGGTAAAACTGGCTGAGGCAAACCAGGCAAAAGATTTTCCAGCTGCCAGAAGATTAGCTCCTGCATATGCTCAATGCTCTGTTCCAAGTATTAACTCCAAATGAAACAGTGGTGTGAATCCCAAGGAAACGTCCAATTTCAGAACACTCTGCTTGTCTTGGAGAGTCTCTGAGAGAGGCAAGGAGTGGCTCTGACTCACCCTGGGGACACAGACACTGGTGGCAGCCATTCCCGGGAGCTGCCCCTACCACATGTACACTGGTGTGGGCAGGCACCACCAAGGAATTCTCTCACCTGTACATTCCTGATTCTCACCGTCAACTAGTAAGAAATAAAACAACCGAGAAAATATTCATTATCAACCATGAAGCTAGCCAGACTGAAATTTTCTTGATTGGCAGGAATGATGTCAAACACTGTCCCCTTAAACCCTTCCTCTTTGGCATCAATCTATGACCACCCCACGATTATTCTTTCCACAAACCAACTGAGTATAGTTCTTCTTCATTCATAAGAATTCTTCACAACTCAGAAATCATAAAGGATCTTTAAAAGAGCCTAATTTAATACTACAATGTCCATTAATCAAGGTTCTCAGACAGTCTGAGTGTCCAACCTTCTGAAAGCACCTGAAAGCACCTCTTGCTTCTTAGGGTAACTTCTTGCATGGCTATGTTAGATGCTAGAACTTCCACAGTGGGTAGAATTCCTCCTCCAAATTAATGTACTTGAAACTTTCTTATCCAACTTCCCCATATCTCATCCACAGGGGGGAAAAAAATAGACAAGCTATCAAAGAAAAACACTTCAATAAAACATTCAAGCAGGAAAGAGTGAGCTTGTAGGAAAAAATGAATAGGCAGTTAATCTTTAGAACTGGGGGAAAGGTGACAAACTATAGAGTTGAGAAAAATCCAGAGATAAGGAGGAAAAGAGGCGAATCTGGGGAAATCATAGCCATCAGGATTCTAGATATCCTAGCCTTGCTCGTCTTTTACACAGTGGTCTTCATCCTGACTGCACCTTAGCATCACCTGGGAGGGGATAAGTGCACTCTGATGCCTGAGGCCCAGTCTCCAGAAACTGGCTTAGAGTCAACTCATTAGGGTGGAGCCTGAAGAGTCCTTTCCCTGTAGATTCTGGATGCAGAGACTAACCCCATGAAAGCATCTGCTAACCTCCACTCTTGCACTGTCATGGCATCTGAGCCTGGAATGGCTATGGACCTGCTCTGAAGGAGTTACGAGGATCACAAAAAGTTTTAACCAGAGTTCCATGGCACATTTCATGCTTCTAGAAAAGTCCATCTAAACTCAAGTCCAGAGATTATAGTGATGAAATTAAAATTTTTCATTCTGCACAGTAGGAAAAACAAAATGTTCAGAAAAGGCATTTTAAAAATATGAATAAAAAATGAATTAAAATTAGCCTGAAAAGTTCTCTCTCAAAGGAGAAGGATAATTGGATTAGAGCTAACAAGGATATCAGCCTTCTTTAAAGATAGCCCTTTCTTGATTTTTGGAATCATGAAAACATTATACAGAATTATAATTATAAAACAGCTAATTTATTAAAAAGCAATTCCTAAAACTTCAGAGTAAAATTAAACAAAAATACCTAAATATATACTCAATAGTTCTTTTTGGTATGGCTCTGCCAACCAACGGGATGGGTATATATTTAGGTACTTTTGTGGAGAGGGTGAGATGTATTGAAAGAATAACATGGAAACTTATATTACCATATGTAAAATAGATAGCCAATGGGGAATTTGCTGTTTGGCTCAGGAAACTCAAACAGGGGCTCTGCATCAACCTAGAGGGGTGGGGTGGGGAGGGAGAAGGGAGGGAGGTTCAACAGGGAGGGGCTAAATGAATACCTATGGCTGATTCATGCTAAGGTTTGATGGAAAACAGCAAATTCTCTAAAGCAATTATCCTTCAAAAAAAATAAATACTTCTTTTTAAAAAGTAGTTTTAAACAAAATAAT